AACCTAAACAGTTTGTGTAAGCCTGAGGTGCAGGTGGGGCGATAAAAGAGACTGTGGTGATGAGCAGGTTTCTGTGTTATCGGATCAGGCACATGCAAATATCACAGAACAACTCAGTATTGGGTTAACAGAAAATAGAAAAAGACAAACAGCGGCTCCACTGCTAGATAGTTTCTGTGAACCAATTAGGGCTGCAACAACTAATCGACATAATCGATTTTAATCGATGATTGAAAAAGTTGTCAACTTTTTCAATCATCGATTAATCGGCTTCTGGTTAGTTGGCCCTGTTCACTGCTCCACAGAAGCTGTGCGCCGCACCTCCTCACCACCTCACGCGCACCACTGCCAGACCCGCCCACACCCACGCGCCATACCCCGCACCTCCTCCCCGCCTCACGCTCACCGCCATCCCACATCCACGATTGGCACAGGGACTCGATATACATTATACAGCGCAATGCGGAATACCACCAGCTATAGAGGAGTACAACAAATCCCAGCAATAGTACATTATACAGTGGTGCAATGCCGAATACCACTAGCTATAGAGGACTACAAAACCCAGCAATAGTGCATTATACAGCGCAATGCAGAATACCGCCAGCTATAATGTATTGCTGGGATTTGTTGTATGCCTCTATAGGTGGTGGTATTCTCTATTGTGCTGTATAATGCACTATTGCTGGGATTTGTAGTCCTCTATAGCCCTCTATAGTGCTATATAGTTTTACACTTCATTTCACTATATTGCACACCACACTTTTTTTTTTCTTATTTACTATCACCGCTCCAAGCTTGCTCCCGTGATGGACTACATCTCAATACAAACTAGTAGCTCATCACTGGAGCCATTTTTTAAAATTTATTTTATTTTTATCCGATTAATCGATTTTGAAAATAATCGTTAGCTGCAGCTCTAGAACCAATTGCATGAATCTCTAGGCATTGTGTAAAGAAAATAAAGAGGATAGGCGTAAGTTAAAGAACAGGTAAGAAAAGAGAAGTGTGAGAGAGGAAGGGTCGAGGGGAGGGCGGGCGTGGGGGAGAGCTATGGAGGGCTGGGTACAGGCCCCCATCTGAAAGGCCACATAGCAAACATTGGATAGCCTCCAAGGTGATGTAGTTCAGAGAAAGGACTGAAGATCGGAGGAGGAGGAGAAATTTATCCATATACTCCATTGGGTCAGAAATTTGGGAAATGTATCGGTGTCAGTCACCATTAGGTCCTCCATACGCATTATGTCATTTACATGGCTTACCCACATGGCTATGGGAGGTGTGACTGCCCTTTTCCAGTAAAGGGGGATAACTTGGCAGGCTGCAGAGAGAAAGTGTCTGCGATTTGAAAATTTAAAGGGCTGGTATTGGCCTTAAGAATCGGGGCATTTTCACAAGTACTCGTGAAACATCCCTAGTTTTCACTGATGGATACCTCCTGTATATGTATTTCTTATCATACATTTTGGTTTTATTTGCCTGGATTTAAACAATTTTTTTTTTCGTATTTGCTAATGTAGCTAACAGCACATAGCATTCAGAAACATTAGATAATTTGCAGAAGTATTTATGAATGGCAGTGTTCACCCAGCAAAAATTAACCTGACTTCATCAGTAGTCCAACAACGTTCTAACCTGTAGTACTTTTTTGAAGTACAGATTACTGAATTAAAGAAGAATGTGGCTGACCATCTGAAAAATATATTTTTGGTCTCACTACTAATCCAAATCACTTATGTGAGGGAGGAAAAAGAAAACACAAAGCTCTTTGTTTTTGCAGATTTAGGATTACACTATAACATTCTAGCTATATTGGTTTAATTAAAGCTGGAATGTAGTTCAGCATTCCTCTGCAGTAGTAATACCGTGAGGTTGCCGCTGCTTTTCTACAACCTGTTTGTGTCTTTGCAGAATGTGTTTTTTGTTTTGTCATTAAAACTGTTACTATATCAAATCTGTGATACTGGTAAACATTATTATTATTATTATACAGGATTTATATAGCGCCAACTATTTGCGCAGTGCTTTACAATATAAGGAAGACATTACAATCACAATACAATTCAAGACAAGACGGTGACCAGGGCCCTGCCCCTGAGGGCTTAGGCCTTGTTCACACCAAATGCAGAGCAGATCAGCTCAGGTTTCTGCCCACGCAGTGCAGTGGGTTTTGCCGCGTTTTTGATGCGGTCCGGGCGTTTTTTGGTAAAAAAACACAATTTTTTTTTTAGTTTTTAACATGGGCTTTCAGTGCGTTCCAGGCATTAGCATGCGTTTGCATATCTAGAGCAGATCCAGAGCAGGTAAAATGGGGCCTGCTGCAGTTTTTTCACCTGCTCTGGAACTGCACGCTGCGATGTGAACTGGAGCAAAAAATACCATTGGAATACATTAGATGCAGTTTTGATCCGGTCTGCAACTGCTCTGCTCTGCACCTGCTCCGCGCTTGGTGTGAACAAGGCCTTACAGTCTAAAAGGAAGGGGTAAGTGATACATGAGGAGGTAGATTTGTGGGGATGAATTGTTTGAGAACGTGATGGCTGAGCAGTTAGGTTGAGGTGGGATAGGCTTCCCCGAAGAGATGAGTCTTTAGGGAATGCATAAACATAATTCTGTTGCACATTGTAAGAATGTGTATGTATTGCATTAGCTTTATTCCAGTTGTTTACACTTTGTTTTTTATAGATCACATAATGCAAATCCAGTTTGGCTTTTTCTCAAAATCTGTTAATATTACTATGCTCTTCTATCATTTTATTTTGAGGATATTTATGTGCATTTTAATACGTGCTACTGCAAGTCACGTGGCACAAGTGGATGCTAGGGTAGGACAGAATAAAGCAGAACATAGTTGGTTGGATACATGTGGCCGCTTCTTGACTTGCTCACTTATTTATTCCCTAACTGAATTGGAGTTTACATCCTCCAGCCCTCTTAATACTTGCACATGGAATGGGCAGCTTAGTCTGGAGGGAAAAGGGGGGGGGGGGGTGTACATGGAAACCCTGAAAGTTATTTACTGACAACATTAAAGTATATTTCCACTGTTGTAGCCATTTTGGAATAACAACTCCTTTTTTATATATGTGAATTTTTTTCTTTCACACAGCATAACTTAAAAAAAAATAAAAATTGCAGCTTGCCTTTTTAGATGTTCTTTGTGCTATCTCCAGGACTGAAAAGTCCAGCTTAGTTCTCACTGTCTGGGGGGGTTCAAATAATTAACCCTGTCTGTACTGCGATGGCAGATTTTATTATCACTTTTAAACTGGATGAGCAGGGTGGTCTAGCAAAATGTTAACGACATTGAGGGGAATTTATCAAAACTGGAGCAGACAGAATCTGGAGTTCCACAGGCCACCAACAACTCAAAACGATTATAGCAATGGAACGATTCAAACTATTATAGGAACAAAACCATTAAGTACTACAAACACAGCTTTCAGACAGCTGCAACCCGTTCGTCCGGACCGACATTATCAACGATTATCCACAGCCACATCACCACCAACACACCTACCAGCTTTACAACATCTGGTCAGCATCTCATCATCATCCTGCCCATAGAGGCAAGCTGATGATGAGATGCTGTCCAGATGTTGTAAAGCTGGTAGGTGTGTTGGTAGTGTTTTTGGCTGTTCAGTATCCATTTTTTATAATCGATGACATTGCATCATTATTAACCACATGGAGAGTTTCTACTTATCACACACGTGATTTATATCTTTTTTGCATACTCTCACCTTATAATCATTTTCGCCCCCCCTCTTCGACTCCCCCCAACACCAACCGGGAGAAGGATTAGTCATCACCATCACACCAATCTTCAACACCAGCACTCCAAACGAGGTCAACAAACCTGACCTATCGGCAACTCCCCTATACGTGAGCACAAGAGCATCCATACCTCGCCCACCTACCAGGTTTTTCGCCTAGTTGTGGCTCTTCTTTCTCATTTTTGTTCATCAGCTTCTCTTTTTCATTTTCAGAGTTTAACTGAGCAAACTGAAGATAGAAGCTGATTGGTTACTATGGGCAACTGCTCCAGATTCTATCTGCTCCAGTATTTATACATTCCCCCCATTTGTATGTTAATGAGAGGGAGCTCAGCCTGTTAGTCTTTCTATTATGACAATCAGAGTTTCCTGTGACTGAAAACTGAGAGAGAGGCTTGCAAAGGCCTGCTAAATAGAGGTGTCTAAAAGGTAAGAAATATTGATGAAATACATTTTTAGTTATGCTGTGTAAATAGGAACATGTAAGAAACATATAGTGAGGTTTTTCTCAATTTTGACTGTAAAAGTGTAAATACACTTTAAAGAACTTCTCTTCCTTCTCCCACAGATATGTTTTGGTTTTTTTTTTGGTAACATGTCTCTCTGTTGCAGCCATGCAAAAGTGCACTTGTTTAAAACCTTGAAATGTATTCTGCATCATAACTATATGAATCTAATGTCAACCCAAGTAACCTAGTCTCTAATTTTGGATAGAGTTTTGAAGAACTCCTGTTGGATTTTTGTTGCTTTCCAGGCACCAATAGAGAGATTTATCCTCACTTCTTATGTTAACAGTTTCACCAGACAGGAAGTAAGGGAGAATATGCAACAGGGATACATAGAAAATGTTTAATCTTACAGGGTTAATAGCCTTTCCCTACACTGCTAAAAAAAAAAAATTGTTCATTCTGTCTATGGAGAGCTCTCCCCACTTCCTGTCAATGTTTTACCAGACAGGAAGTGAGGGGAAATCTCTCTAACAGAGCCCCAAATAGCAGTAGAAATCTGACAGGGGTACTAACCATTCCTCTATTCTATCCAGAACTAAAAAAAAGTTTTGACTGGACAAACACAATATTTGCAGCATGCTGGCTAATTTTCATGAAACTGCAAATACTATGCAGATACAGCAAAAAAAATCGTAATTGTGCATGCATGTGTTACAGTAAATGTGTCTTCTTTCATGGGCACTCTTAATTTAGACGGTACATTTTTGTTTTGCAGATAATGAATATATTTTTATGGACCTGGAGCAGAAGCTGAACAAGTATTTTCCTAAGGAATGGAAGAAAGACGCTCACAAAGTCGCTCACAAAGTATGTCAGAGCTGAAACAAAACAATACTGTATGTGTGTACGTATATAATTATTGTATGTGTGTGTAAGGAAAAGCAACAGTAAAATGCAAAACAATGTGACAATTAGGATTTTATATAATGCATAGGAGCATAATCACAAAGAGAGTTGTACCAGGCTTACACCTTTTTACTGTTTTTAGTTCTCTAAATAGTGGAGCCGGTAAAGACATGTTACATTGCTGCAAAGAAACAGATTAAAAAAATGGATCAGGTTAGAAAGTAAAACAAACGTGACCTATTTGCAATGTGCAATGAAAGTGCAGTGAAAGTGTGCATTCAGGAGCAAGAAAAATGGTTACAAGAATGCTAATACAATTGTTCAGTTCAGGAGTAAAACTTTGCCTGTAACTAGGAAAAGCTACCCATTTAAATTTGACCAGTTTTCTGTCTTATAATACAAACTGCACTAGTAAGAAACTGTAGTTGTGTGTATTCATTGTAAGGATTTAATCCAGAGTAGATACAAGTCCGTTCTCTCACTAGCACGGTTCAGGGCATGTCAGCCCACTTTTTTTTTCCCCCCCAGAGATTTAGGTTGCACCAGCTTTCACTTGCAGAATTAAGCCCAACAAACACATACCCTATTTCCACGGTCATCCTACCAGCCCTCATCACAAACCAACCCCTGGATGATTTGGGGCTGCTGTTTGTCACAGTCTGTATTTTTAGCAAGTCTCTCACAATAGATACTGTCAGCGGCTATGACATGCTTTCCATACTCCTATTTTGTAATATTTAAAAAATGTAAATAATTATTTGAAAAGGTCTACTGAATTCACACATTTCTTACTGTTATTTTTATAAATGTCTTGTGTGTTCATCAGCTGTGACTAGTGTCTTAACATAAAATACTTAGCAGTGATAAACTGGTTAAACCGGAATCCACTTGGCTCCAAGAAATGTTTTGAATTGAGAAATGTCTTTGAAACCTGATTATTTGGCTTTATTTACTGCTCTAAAAGCCACAAATATTTTAAGGGTATATACACACTTATGCAGGTATAAACATGTACGTTTTCTTTCCAAGAGGAAAATGTGAACACGTGTGCAGGCCCAGCTACAACCCACACAGCAGATACTTTTAACTTTCAAAGTATTTTATTACATTTTACGATAGAATAAAACAAGAAAGCACATGATGCACAAACAGTATAGCATACAATTGCATCTCAGAGTCTTCCACATTAGCATAGTCAGGTAGTGAGAGGGGATCACTAGAAACCATACACACAATGCATAATAATTCTGTGAAACAGAACATATCTATCCACCTACTCTTGCCAAATTATCCCCCATCAATGAAATCAAAATCAAAACAATCTGAGAGAAATATCAGGCATACGGATCCACCTGTGTCTGAAGCAAACATTTGGTATGACCTAGAGCTTCAACAATTATTCGATTAAGCCGATTAAAATAGACGATTCGTCAGCTAAAATTCAAATTTCCTGCTCGCCGTTCACTTAAACTTTTTTTTTAAAGTGGCACACTGCCGAGCAGCTATAGAGGAACAACAAATCCCAGCAATAATACATTAAACAGCCTGTACAATGTATTATTGCTGGGATTTGTTGTTCCTCTATAGCTGCTAATGTTCTGCAGTGTGCCGCTGTATTATACATTGATATTCTGAATTGCATTGTATTGTGCATGGTGTTCTGCATTGTATAATACATCGGCACACTGCAGAACACCAGTAGCTATAGAGGAACACCAAATCCCAGCAATAATATATTAAGCAGCATGTATAATGTATCATTGCTGGGATTTGTTGTTCCTCTATAGCTGGTGGTATTCTCCCTTGCGCTGTATAATGTATTATTGCTGGGATTTGTGGTTCCTCTATAACTGGTCAGTGGTAATCTGCATTGCGCAGTATAATCATTATACAGCGCAATGGAGAATACCACCAGCTATAGAGGACTACAAATCCCAGCAATAATACATTATATACAACGCAATGCAGAATACCAGCAGTTAGAGGACTACAAATCCCAGCAATAGTACATTATAGTATAATGTTGTACTATTGCTGGCATTTGTTGTATTCCTATATAGCTGCTGGTATTCTGCATTTCAACGTATAGTCATTATACAGCGCACTGCAGAATACCACCAGCTATAGAGGACTACAAATCCCAGCAATAATACATTATATACAGCGCAATGCAGAATAACGCCAGCTACAGAGGACTACAAATCCCAGCAATAGTACATTATAGCATAATGTACTATTGCTGCATTCCTCTATAGCTGCTGGTATTCTGCACTGCGCCGCTGTATAATGTACTATATTGCACACCCCACTTTTTTCTTACTTCCACCGTGCCAAGCTTGCTCCCGTGATGGACTACAATCTCAATACAAACTAGTAGTCCATCACTGGAGCCTTTTTTCTAAATCCGATTAATCAAACTCAATAATCGGCTAACTAATCGATTATGAAAATAATCGTTAGCTGCAGCCCTAGTATGACCTCCTCCGTATCTATATACATAGACTTTCCGTCCAACATCAATGTACTAAACAGCTCACGTGTGTGAGCCTAAAGCCTAAAGAAAGAAAAAACAGACAAAAAGAAGAAAAGGAAAAAGATGCTAAACAGAACAGCTTTAATACAGAGTCCAAAAAGAGTAGATCCGTCCCCTACCAGATAGCCCAACATCTACTTAAACATTAAACATGGAACCCAAAAAAAGAACAGAAAAATTGTACAATGGAAGTTACCCGGTTTCCAGCACCCCTGCATATAACATCCAGGGTGTCCAGGTAAATTCAAAGAATTTTTCAGTATCTTGGAGGATGCTGTAAAGTTTATCATGGACCATAATCCACAAAATTTTTTGTTTGACCAAGTGGAATTGAATTGTTGGCAATTTCCAAGCCCTAGCTATAGTTATTTTGGCTGCCAACAAAAAGAAAGTAATTCATTTATCCAAAGCTTTAGACAGTCCTGGAATCGGGCAATTCAGCAACACATATTGGGGATCTCGTGGGATCCTCACCCCAGTAACCCTAAATATTAGAGCATAAAGCCGGTTTCAAAAGGTTCTCAATCTAGGGCATTCCCACCATATGTGATACATTGTGCCCGGGTGAGCACACCCCCGAAAACAATGAGGAGAAACTTCTGGGTATATTCTCGCTAGTCTGGCAGGAACCATATACAACCTAGATAACACCTTATAATTCGCTTCTATTAGTGAAATATTGAGTAAACCAGATGACATGCGGGAACAACATTGATGCCAGACATCCAGTGGAATAACCGTTTCCATTCGTAGGTTGTTTTAAAGGGAGACATCATGTTAGGTGTTTTTTAAAGAACCTAAAAAGTGTAATAATTGTCTGTAGTGAAAGTATTCAGAAGATGGCATGTGCAAAACCTCCCGACAGTAGGTCAAAGTAGTGGGAAATTAGGATTATGGAAGACGGGAGCCAGAGGCGACGCCAACCCACCTCCCCTTCGGAATGAGTCCCATACCATCACAGAACAAGACAAGGTCGGGGCCAGAATGACGGGCCTCTGCCTCAGGGACATCCACTTCAAGGCATCAATTGGTGTACCCGAGGCAGAGAGAGATTCCATTAGGATCCAATCTGGTGTGTATCCCTGGTTATACACAGAGGAGAGCTGAGCCACCCGCGCTTTTCCATGTCAAACAAATGTAATAATTAAGGATTGGAATTTCAAAAGGTCTGGCTTATGTATAGCTATGGGTAGAGCCCGAAAGTAATACAGGATCTTGGGGAGCAATGTCATTTTGAGTGCATGAATGCGACCCAGCCATGACAAATTACAGGAGTCCCATCGAGACATATCCTCCCGGAGTTGGTGAAACGGGGGTATATCATTTTTCTTGTAGTTGTAAAAAGATAGGTGTAAGTTTAATCCCTAGATATTGCAAAACCTCAGTGGACCAGGTAAAATCAAAATGTTCCGACAACCGAGACCACAATTCCTGGGGAATGTTGATATCAAGAGCCAATGATTTACAGCAGATACTTTTAGACCTATTTTTGCTGTGATCTGTGTTTAAAAATGTATCATTTTGTCTTTATACCTGCAAGACAAAATGAACCCTTATACCAGGGCTCAACATTTCCACTCGCCTGCTCGCATTTTGCGAGTAAAAGAGTGGAAATTTGGGTCTCCAAGTACCGGTTCGCGGACCAACTCCGGCCCACGAGCCGGTACTTTGTGGCCAGCAGCCAGCTGACATGTCAGGCACACGGTCACAGACTGCGTACCTGACTTGCGGGAGCAGCTCCACGGTCTGCATCTGTGAGCTGTCAGCTCTGGCTTCTTTCGACCGGAGCTCTGACAGTTCTGAACTCCAGCCGAAAGAAAGGATGTATGTGGGGAGGATCAATCCCTGGTTATCTGTTGTGTGGGGGTGGGGGGTAACGTTGAGAAGTGTGTATTGTGTTTTAAGCTGCCCTACACCTTACGACTTTCGTTATGCGATGGTTGGTTGCGAAACGCGTTGCTGTTATATTCCACCAGCTCCAACTCCCTGAGTCAAAGCTAAGAAACCATACAAAAAACATTATCATTTAAATCATGTACAATGTTAACTCCATCTAATGTACGAATCAAATGTTAATGGTTGATACATATCAATCAATGTAATTAGGACGGCAATCCAATACTACGATGAGCGTAATATAATCATGTTGAACTAATTATACTTAGCCACAGATGGCGATACAGTGAATCCATAATTAACGGATGGTTTTAAATGCTTATAAAGCTGAATCCTCTCGGTTTCTTCAATATTTAAACCCCAATGAATTGCTACAGATTAGCCGTCTATCCAATTGAAGTGTGTCAACCATATTGTAGGAGTTGAGACCTACAAATGAACTATACTTCTGTATTAACTAGCTAAACCAATCATGTTAACTGGGTCTTAACCATTTAAGACTCAGGGTATTGGTGGATATTGGAGGTGTTTCTGCTCGATTCCTTTTTTGTTTCTTTCTTTGATATTGTGATTTACATTTTTAATCATGTATTTAATAAAATGTATTAGGGATGCACCGATACCACTTTTTTAAGGCCGAGTACCGATACTTTTTTCCAAGTACTCGCCGATACCAATTACCGATACATTTTCTTAACGGGACAGGTAAAAATATCTTGCTTGATTGAAGACGCGATGGAGGTCCTGTGTGCGGCGGATACGGGTCCCTGAAGATGGCGGACAGGTACTCGTTTTATGTCTTGGAGTATTTGCACGAGTACTCATGCAAATACTCGGTATCGCCGCCGATACCGATGCTTGTATCGGTATCGGTGCATCCCTAAAATGTATACATTTTATATAAATACATTTTCGTGAATCATCGCTTAGAGTGCCTAAAAAAAACCCCACCCTTCCAAACTTCCTCTCTTCAATCATAACCCGGGGTGTGGCATTTGCTGCTGGTAATCTGACAGTGGTGAACCCAGAAGTGCTCAGAGTGCAGTGCTTCCAGGTTCATTGATTGCAGAGCAGATGCGTTCTGCAAACTGCTCCAACTTGCTATCCTAACATTATTTACTGTGGTTCACCATGACGGGGGTGACTATTTATCCCCATAAAAGTGATTACTTTTACTGGAGAGCCTGAAGTTGGCTGAAAATGGTAACAAGTTTACTGCTGCTGCTGTTGTTTTATAAACATCATGTGGACGTCTAGTGATTAGTACAAATATCTGTGGCCCTGGAAAAGAATTAAGCTGAACTCTAGGCGAGTATAAAAGGAACATTAATGTAGCTCTGTAGTCATTATTCCTCATAAAATGTTTTTTTTACATGCAAGTAGTATAAACCGAATTTGACCTTGTATCAGCCTCTTGTAGTCTGTGGAGTGTGAGAGGAAGAAGCAGTACAAGGAGCCAATTAGAAAAAGCATGCTGATAAAAGGAGAAAACAGTGACAGAAAAAAAAAACATACCACTGTGCTGCTTCTCTTTTCACTGTCAAAGTTCATGGTTTTGCTAGGTCATGTACAGGGAAGTCTAGAATGATGTTAGCCATCAAACCATCAGAAGACATCTAGTGGCAGAAAAAAGTACTTCCGGGTAATTGAAGATGAATATTGCAGCAAGAGCTTGTTTTATTTTATCTTTTTAAATGGGCTATTCCTTTTTTCATGACATATTATTATATTTATTATATATCTTATTACCATAGTGTACATCCTTTTTTTTTTCAGGACACTTAGGGCTTTCGAGTTCAATAATTTTTATTGACATTTTTCAAAATAGTTTAACATTCAAGTGTAGCAGAAGTATAGAAACATAAGGTAGCTTACAAAGCTGGAACCGTTATCTATTCATTACAATCCGTGGAGGGAATAAACATCAGAGAGGTAGCACTGGGAGCAATGGCAATCTGACAATAAGATGCTTAACATGCTGCGCACTCCATTAAATCCAGCTTAACTGCATATGGACTCGTACATCCAAACAAAGGTAAATAACTTTCTTCCCTGATTGGGAGAAGGGACAAAGTAGGATTGAGAGGAAGGTAAGTAGTGTTAGTTAGAAAGAGGAAAAGGGATAGATAAAGCAAGAGATGGCGAGAGAGGGAAGAGGCGGTCCACTCCTGTAGCAAGGGCAAAGGATGAAATTGTTTGTGCTTGGATTTCAAAGTGGCACCAAGCGCTCATCAAAAGATTGTGTCTAAGTATCCAAGGGTTCCAAATTTGTTCAAAGCGGGGAACCGTATCAGCCAGTCTCGCGGAAAGGCGTTCGTTGACAAAGGTCCATTGGATTCTGCGCTGCACCTCAGAGAATGGAAGTGTAGTGGACTTCCATGATTTGGCCACGGTCAGCTTAGCTGCAGTGAGACCATGTAAGAAAACTTTGTGTTGTTTATGTGCGCATTCCACAAGGGGAAAGTTAAGAAAAGCCACCTTCGGATCCGGTGTTCGTGTCATACCCAGGGTAGAGGAAAGAAAAGCAAAAACACGTGTCCAAAAAACCTGTACTGAGACAGCTTTGTGAGCAGGATTTAGTCACTTTCCAAATGTTGTTCCAACTATCTGCGTCCACTGAGATACCGAGGTCCATCTCCCATGCTTTCATGTAGTTATGAGGGGCAGAGGTCAAACCCAACAGTAATTAATTATAAAGCATGGAGATTAATCCCGGTGCGTAAGGATCTTTATTGCATGCCTGCTTGAAAGGGGTAAACGTGGGACTGGCGAAGATACAAAGTGCTTGACCTGGAGGTAACGAAAGAGCTCTGCATTCGGTTGTTTGATAGTTTTCCTGTAATTGTTGAAAAGATTTTGGGCCGTCTGCAGTATACAATTTTATATAGGTTAAGCAGGGTTCTTGAGGAAGGATAGAAGTGGACGTTGTGGGGACATTAAATGGCTTGAATACTTGCACGCGTCCCAGAGTTGGGAGTGTTGGGAGTGGGCTGTCATAGGATTTTTCACGCGTAGTCTATATTTAGGGAGTAACCAAAGGAGGTTATTAATGGTCAGCGGGTAGCAGTCGACTGCTTCTAGGGAGACCCATAACGGAGTGTCTTCGTTGGCATGGTATTTTGTCATAGCAGCAAGTTGAGCCGCTGCATAGTAATAAGCGATAGGAAAGCGTACGGCATTGGAATACACGGGCGGCATCCTTGCCATATAAAGTTAGTTATTTGGTGTTGCAGGACCCTAAATCTATACTGAGGAACTGGGACGGGCAGGACCCTGAAGAAGTAAAGTAGCTTTGGTAGGAATGTCATTTTTATAGCGGATATTCTCCCCAGCCAAGATAGAGGATACTGTTTCCACGTTCGACGCAAGTGTGATAGGTGAGAGAATAAATTGGGATAATTTTCTTCGTATAGAGAATGGAAAGTCAGAGTAAGGCGGATGCCTAGGTAGCGTAGGGCACGTGGTTCCCAAACAAAAGGGAAGGAGGTACGGAGGGTGTCCACCAAAGGGGCGGGGAGGTTCACATTAAGGGCTTTGGTTTTGTGGGGGTTAACCTTTAAATCAGACACGGCCTCGAATGGGTCTAACACCGAAAGGAGGTTAGGCAAGGATATGGACGGGTTCGAGATAAATAACGGATATCGTCTGCAAATAGACTGAGTTTCTGGTGGTGTCCGGCAATAGGGATACCAGTAATGTCAGGATTGTTGTGGATTAGCTGGGTCAAAGGTTCCACTGCCAGTGCAAACAGTAAAGGAGATGGTGGACAGCCCTGCCGTGTTCCATGGGAGATAGTAAAAGGGGCAGAACGGTACCCAGCGTAGTTTATCGATGCACTGGGGCTGGAGTACAAGGAATGAACCCAAGAGATGAATATTAGACCAAAACCCCAATGGTGGAGCGAGCCAAAAAGGTATGGCCAGGATAGAGAGTCAAATGCCTTTTTAATATCGAGGGAGAGGAGCATAACCGGCGTATTCCGGCGCCTGGCTGCCTTCACCAATAAGCAAGCTCGTCGGGTACCATCACCTGCTTGTCTACAGGGCATGAAACCAACGTGGTCTCCATGAATTATCATAGCGATGTACGTATTGAGCCCGATAGCTAAGATCTTTGCCAATATCTTGATGTCCACATTTAGTAAGGATACGAGTCGAAAGTTTAGAACAGTTAGTCGCCTGAGTCCGGCTTTGGTATTATACATATCGTGGCTGACATGGATTCTTGGCGTTGGCGGGCTCCAGTCTGAATAGAACTGCAAGCAGCATAGGTGCGAGGTCTGAGAATTTTTTAAGAATATAACGGCATAGAGCTGCCGGGGCTTGGTCTCTTATTAGGTTTCAAAGTTTTAATTGCCCATTGGACCTCAGTCAAGGTCAGTGGCTCTTCTAGGGAATCGCAGAAAGATTGAGGAATAGCCGGCAAGGACGCATCAGTGAATATGTGTGAGAGATTGAGTGGGTGTGGTGGGTCTGTCGCGGAGTACAACACAGACAAGTGTCGCTCAAATTCCTCAGTGATTTTAGACGGGTCGCTCGTCAATGTGCCCAACCGTGTACGGATACGGAGCAGTTTATGTATGAGGTCAGAGGAGCACAACCGGCAGGCCAAGAGCGTATTGTTATTTTTTTTTCTTACTTGCCGAGCGTCGCGTCACTGCTGCTCCGGTGGGCAGCGCTCCAAGCGGGGTCATCTGGCAGTCTCCGGCCACCTAAATTAGGACCCCACCTGGAGCTCCGCCCACCGGAGCAGCAGTGACGTGACGCTCGGCGAGGTAAGTAAGAAAAAAAAAAACATAGTGCAAGCTTCGGCGCTAGGCATCGTGGCATTTTGACAAGTACTTGTCAAAATGCCCTGTATCGGGCCCGATTCTGATGCTAGCATCGGTATCGGGACATCCCTAATTGAGAGGCAACAGGAGTCTTGACAGATTTGCTATATATTGGTGCCTGGGGCTTTTACAACTATAGTGAATACTACACCATGATTTCCCATTTCATATCACAATCTCTTGCTTGAGATATGGACTTTTTAGGTCTATAGCTGCGTCTGATAAGTTTACATTAAAATTGGACCCATGTCTTTATTCGGTTTACTCTGGTACGTATTTACTGCCTTTTTTTTTTTTTTTCCAGACAACAGAAAAGTTTAGTCCTCCTTGCGTTGCCTTTTTCAGAGTGCAATATTATGTAGAAAATGGAAAAATAATAAGGTAAGAGAATAAATTACGTCATCTGGCTCCTTTTTTAGTGTTGGTGATATATATTGGTACGGTGTGGTTTTTGTTTTTTTTTTCTCCTGGGAAACAGGCAGAAGAAAAGTAGGAGTAGGGTAGAGAATGAGAGTAGTTATATTTTTTTTGTTATTGTCGTGTATTGCTAGGTAGTTACATAGTATTTGGGGTTGAATAAAGACATACGTCCATCAAGTCCAACCCATATAGGTCCGCGCATCATCTCATTCTTAGGGATACTGGTAGTTGCAGGGCAATTAGGACATAAAATAATTTAAAGAGTGCTGACGGCATCAAATGCATATTAAACACAAACCAGAACATTGTACTAGAACACAAATGATTTTCCCTGAGATCTTTCTAATTGTATGTAGAATGACAAAGTAATTTTCTTTGTTTTTAATGTATTTCTGTTTGCAAGTGTTTACTTGAAACTATGAAACCAGAAGGTACTGTTTCCATTCTTCTGAAATCAGCAGACTAAAATGTATGTGACATTAATGCAGGGTATTGCTTTCTTGAGGACTAAATATGCATACAGTTTTACCTTCAAAAATTCAAATGAATCACTTGAGGGTTTGGAACATAGGAAATGCTTCCTCAAAAACGTCAACATTTCTAGGACCTATCTCCTACATTCAGTAAATCTCCCCTTGTTGCATACAGAGGATCCATAAGTGCGCATTTTTATCTTCTACTCCCAACTTTCTGAGATGAGAAAGAGATACAGTACAGAGTATGTAGACAAACTTTTACAAAGTATTGATCCCGTAAAGATGATTGCTTAAACCCTCAAGTGCTTTTTTTATCATTACTTTGCTTTTCTTTTAAGCAAGCTTTAAAAAAAAGTGTGTGTGTATATATACACATTATATTGCCAAAAGTATTGGGACGCCTGCCTTTACACGCACATGAACTTTCATGGCATCCCATTAGTCTGTAGGGTTCAGTATTGAGTTGGCCCACCCTTTGCAGTTAGAACAGCTTCAACTCTTCTGTAAAGGCTGTCCACAAGGTTTAGGAGTGTGTCTATGGGAATGTTTGACCATTCTTCCAGAAGCGCATTTGTGAGGTCAGGTACTGATGTTGGACGAGAAGGCCTGGCTCGCAGTCTCTGCTCTAATTCATCCCAAAGGTGTTCTATCGGGCTGAGGTCAGGACTCTGTGTAGGCCAGTCAAGTTTCTCCACCTCAAACTCACTTATCTCTGTCTTTATGGACCTTGCTTTGTGCGCTGGTGTGCAGTCATGTTGGAACAGGAAGGGGCCATCCCCAAACTGTTCCCACAAAGTTGGGAGCATGAAATTGTCCAAAATGTCTTGGTATGCTGATGCCTTAAGTGTTCCCTTCACTGTAACTAAGGGGCTAAGCCCAACACCTGAAAAACAACCCCACACTATAATCCCTCCCTCCACCAAACTTTACACTTGGCACAATGCAGTCAGGCAAGTACCGTTCTCCTGGCAACGGCCAAACCCAGACACGTCCACCGGATCGCCAGGGCTGTGCGGGGTCTCACCAGGGCTGTGTGGGTCTCATCAGGGCTGTATGGGCGGGTGCGGGATTTCCCAGTGCTGTGCCGGGTCTCACCATGGCCGTGAGGGCAGCGGGAAGGAGGAGATGTGTGTCCAGACCGGCGCTGTAAACAGGCGCTGTGAGGTCCCCACAATGCTCCCGTGAGGTCCCCACAATGCTCCCGTGAGGTCCCCAGCAACCACGGAACCTTACGGCAGCTTTTTGTGTTTAAAAATGTAAAGCGCCGGTATCGACATTTAGAATCAGGGCATTTTCACAAGTATGTATACTCGTGAAAATGCCCTGTGTTGGTACCGATACTCGTATCAGTATCTGTGCACCCCTACTTAAAGGAGAACTATGGGGTTAGGGCTTTTACCTTAGGGTAACGGGAGGACACAAACTGAGACGCCACAGCTGAAGCGGATCCCGACAATTATGTCTGGATCCGCCCAGCTGCGTGAGTGACAGCTGGTTCTGCCTATCTAGAGGCAGAGTCAGCTGTAACCGCCCCCTCCCCCGTCCAATCCGCCAGTCAGTGCTGGCGGATCGGAGTGGGGAGGGGGGAATCCAGCCCCTCCCCTGTCACAGCAGAGAGCTGTGAGAGGATCGAGAGGTTAGCGAACGCCGGTATGTGTTCGCTCACTTCTCGATCTACTGAGCCGACCTGTGACAGTCTCATTGTCACAGGTCGGCTAGAACTATGAGGTGAGTGAAAAGCACTCCATAGTTCTCCTTTAAGAATAATTTTGCCCAAAGTTCTTCTTTAAAGGGAACATGGCCTAATACAGTGCCTTGTGGTACACCACTAGGGCTTGGTCTTTGTTCCACTGAACCCCATTTACAACCACACTCTGATGTCTATCCTTCCGCCAACTGTATATCCACTGAACCACCCAAGGGTTAGGTCTTAGCTTGTACAACTTTTTATGAGAACATTATGTGGAACAGTACCAAATGCTTTGCTGAAATCAAGATAAACCACAGCACCTCCCTGGTTCAAAATATTTGTGATTTATAGTCAAAAAATTAAAATTTTTATAAAGAATGGGTCCAGATTGTGCAGCTCCAATCGGGATCACCAATTGGCTCTTGGCCCTGGCTTCAGCGCTCCACACTCCCGACCCAAGTGCTAACTCACCCTACGATAGGCAACTCTTTACGCCTCTTTGACACCATGTGCAGGACCGCAGACGTTTCATTGACCCTTGGGCCTCTTAGCCCGGTCCGTATGAACCCCGCTTTCCCCCCAGGCCGCCACTCCTCATTCCTGCACCCTTGGTGCCCAGAAGCCAACCCGACCGTGAAAATGTTCTTTGACGGCCAAGGGGAGTTTCGGTCGTTGGCCGACTTAAATTCTGACACTTCCAACGGATCTCTACCATTATGGACGTATATGCAACTTCGCCATTTCCTCAACGACAGACACATTAAGCAACATTTCACACGCCCCCTTACCGCCCTTGAGCGGCTCTGCACGTCCCCGGGCAGGGCTACTCCTACTGTGTTGGAGACTTATTCCTTACTGTCGAACTCCTCCGCAATGCCACACACACCCTCTACTAAGGCATGGACAAAAGATTTATCTACCGACTTCACCACACAAGAGTGGGAGAGGATGGACGTACTCTTGCTGAAAGGCTCCTTGAATGTACAGATCCAGGAAACTAATTACAAGCTGAGGTCCAGGTGGTACAAAACTCCCGAGCTACTACATCGCATCTTCCCCAACACATCCGCAATCCCACACACACCCGCTACTAAGGCATGGACAAAAGATGTATCTACCGACTTCACCACACAAAGAGTGGGAGAGGATGGACGTACTCTTGCTGAAAGGCTCCTTGAATGTACAGATCGAGGAAGCTAATTACAAGCTGAGGTCCAGGTGGTACAAAACTCCCGAGCTACTACATCGCATCTTCCCCAACACACCTAACACCTGCTGGCGATGCTCGCAAGATGTTGGTACGATCCTCCACATTTGGTGGTCATGCCCCCTCATCTCACCCTTCTGGTCAGACATACACTCGCTCATAAGGAATATAACAGGTGTCACACTAGAATTCACGGTAGGTTCTCTCCTCCTGTTCCACTTTAACTCCCCACACCATATTACCAAACATTCCCTGGTAATACACCTACTGAATGCAGCCAAAACCGTGATCCCCAGACACTGGAAGTCGACACATCCACCGACAATCAGGGAATGGCTAGCACGGGTTGACACTGTGGCAAACATGGAAGAACTAATCGCTTACGATAGAGACACTACACCTCAATATCTGAAAACTTGGGACAGCCTGGCATCTGTTCAAGGGCACGGACTCTTATGTTACCCTCATTCAGTAAAAACCCGACTCTTTCAACCCAGAGGATCTATTCCCTTTCCCTACCCATTCTTACTGCCCCCTAAACCTCTACCTACCTCTAACACACAT